GGCTTGATTGGTTCAGGTCTTCGGGTCTCAGGGTTTCCTCGGCTGGCTTTTGTTGAGGGGGGCTCCCCAGAGACTCCAATATCCCTTAATTAAGGAATATTCCTTAAATTATCATAGGATCCCTAATATGATTTAACGAATATTCCAAAATTGAGGGATATTGGGGTCTCTAGGTCAACCCCCTAAACTAAAACCCTACCATAGATCCTTTATCGACCCCTTTAGGCCCCTAAACCCTAAACCCTGGACCCTAAAACCCTAAACCCTGAACCCTTAAACCCCTGAACCCTTAAACCCTAAACCCTGAACCCTTAAACCCTAAAAGCCCTGAACCCTAAATCCTAAACCGTCGCGGGTGGGAAGCCCGGTCGCTGTCCTAGCAAGAATTTTAATTTTAGCTGTTTCTTAAGGATTATAATAACCAAAAACTAAAGATTATTTCTAAGTACTCCTAAGGCAAGCCCGGTCGCTGTCTTAGGAGCTCTTCCTCGATCTCTTTGCATCGACTCTCCTGGGCTTCCCAGAGATTCCAATATCCCTGAATTAAGGAATATTCCTTAAATCATCTTAGGGATCTTACTATAATTTAAGGAATATTCCTTATAATTAAGGAATATTCCTTAAATCATATTAGGGATCCAATTGAATATTCCTTAATTAAGGGACATTGGAGTGTCTGGGTTTCTACTCGGGTGACTTGGGGGTCCACCTGGACCCTAAGGAACCTACCTTTTGAGGGTTCCCCAATACGAATTCTTAAAAATATCAGTCCTTAAAAAGGTAGGTTACATGGAATTATAAGGTAAAGTTTAAGGATTACACTAGGATTTAGGGGTTTAAGAGCTTAAGGTTTACGCTAGAACTCAGGGCTCAAGAGTTTAAGGTTTACGCCAGGATCTAGGGTCGAAGGGTTTGAGGGTTTATAGGGTTGTGGCTTCAGGGTTTAGGCTTTGTCTGATTTTAGCAAGGGCCCGGAACCCAGCACTCCAGACTCCTCTAAACCCTAAACCCTTAACCCTGAACCCTCAACTCTCAACCCTGAACCCTAAACCCTAAACCCTAAAACCCTAAACCCTAAACCCCAAACACGGAAATCTAAACCCCAAGTCAGCCCAAATCCCGAAACGCGGGGCCCAGTACAGTGAACACAAAAGCCCTAGCTAGAATAGAGTTTTAGTTACATGACCCTACTGTTTGGGAGTTTCCGAAAAGAGGGGACCCTGATATAGTACCCTAAATAGTAGGATCCTTATGAAAAGGACTCCAAAATAAGGTACCCCTAATTCTTGGAAACTCTCACATGACCCTACTATTTGGGTACTTGGACCCTGTGCCTGTCGAGGATCTTTGTGGTTCCGATCAGATGATTCAAGCAAATTTGCATGAGAACAAGAAAGAGTAATGTAGGAACCTGATTAAGAAACCTTGGGCCTGTACTTGGGTTCCTTATATGAAATCTACTACGTATTTTGGGGTTGTAGGCCCAGGGTTTCTTAATCAGGTTCCCACATTGCATGACAACAGTTGTATGCTCATAATCAGGAATCAAAAGGAATATCATCACATACCAATTCGCCGCCAGACGCCTATATTCGGCATTAGGAGTGTCAATCATGCAATTATCCGCAGGTCGCGTCGTCGTTTTAGGGGTTTTGGGCGAAGCCCAAAACTCCACATGCGGAAATTGGAGGATCATGGGGCTTAGTATGTAAGGTTGTAAGTGCCGTGTTTGGGGCCATCGTAAATTTCACGACGTACAGTTTCTATATATATATATATATATGAATACATATGTTTATCTATGTATAACCCTAGGTTAGGGTGTAGGGAATAAGGTGCATTACAGGGCTGGAAAAAGCTCTGCGATCATGGCTTCGGAGAGCATCTGAGTTCTGTGTTCTTATAAAGCAAAGCTGCTGGACATGAGCGATAGGGTAAAACGCAAAACGCTTTGCCCTGATGAAAGCAAAACAAATTGCGCTTTCGGTGTGTGAATGGGTTTGGCCTGAAGGCCCAATGATGTGCAATGTGACACTGGATGACACTTTCGCAATCAACAAATTAGCCATAGGCCCCATAGTAGTTCCTTTTTGGGATTACCTTCTAGAATTCTTTGTATGAACCCCAAAAAGGAACTACTTTGGGGCCTATGGGTAGCCATGCTAACACGCAAATTGCTTTCGAACAGGTGAATCGCCTCGGATGTCCGGCAAACAAAGTGCTGTAACCTTCAGGCTGCACATCTCAGCACCCAAAGCCTCACGAACAAGATGCATGATGTCATGTCGTATTCTAGTATAGTAATTATGGTATATGAGGTTCACTATCGTATGTTATAGTCTAGCATAGTACATTATACCATGGGATATTATAAGAGCCACATAGCGTGCTACTACCATTTTGCACTCCGGGCAGCTCGCACGTACTCGCTCTTGATCCAGGAAGTGTAGGCATCCAGCAGGGGCAGCCGCGAACGGTCGGGCGTCACACAGGTGAGTATAGCTTCCCGCACCACGACCTTGATAGGAGCCCCGGCTTGAGGTTTCAGGGTTTTAGCACGCTTTAGCTTTTTATTGCAGAACTCATAGGTATGTACCCATAGGCCCCATAGTAGTTACTTGTGGGATTACTTTACAGGATTCTATATATATATATATATATGAACCACAAAAAGGAACTACTTTGGGGCCTATGGGTAACAGCAACAAGATGGCGGCAAGGAATCCAGGAGATGGGAGCTCCAAAACAGAATCCAGAAGATGGGAGCTCCAAAAAAGACTCCAGGAGATGGGAGCAACAAACTGAATCAACGACCTAAGCGCAGCCCGGGCGACATAAAGAGGTCGCTCCATCCACGGCAGAGGGCGAACCCCCCATTGCCTTGGCATCTGGGAGTTTCCGAAAATAAGGGGTACCATATTTGGGGGTCATTATGATACGGATCCTACTATTTAGGGTACTATATTGGGGGAGTTTCCGAAAATATGGGTACCTTATTTTGGGGGTGCTTAAAATAAGGATCCTACTATTTAGGGTACTGTATTTGGGATCCTTTATTTTCGGAAACTCCCATATAGATCTAATCCGACACCCGAAATCCAAAAGAGCAGTCGGGACCCGAAGCCCCGAAAGACCAGGATCCTCATTATAGCGAGCCCTTGCCCCCCGTTTCGGCTGGCTCTAAGGCTTGAGATGCTTTTGTTGTTATTATGTCGAATATATGTATATATATATATAGAGAGAGAGAGAGATTATGTGTGTGTATATATATATATAGAGAGAGAGAGAGACAGAGAGAGAGAGAGATATAGAGACAGAGAGAGAGAGAGAGAGATAGATAAAAATATAGAGGCTTGGTCTCACATATGTATATGTATATATATATATATGTGTATATATATAGAGACAGATGGATAAATAGATAGATAGAGGCCGGGCCTTGCGGGTTTTGGGGCTTCGGTTCTAGGGTTTAGGGGTTTAGGGTTTAGGGTTTTGGGTTGGGGGATCGGATTCGGGATATACCCTAAAGCCTAAACCGCAGTTCAACATGTCGGCAACTGGGGCTTGTTTGGTGGTAAGGGCCCAAAGTATCCAGAAAAGAACACAAGCTTTACTTGGGATCCTGATGTTAAGAATCATGCCAAGAGGGGTCCCCGCTTCGGGTGCCTAAGCTGCGCTTTGCAGAAACCAGGGAGAATTTGTTCACATAAACTTTGTAGCAAATGATGCCTTTAAGGAACAAGTCAAACAAAAAGCAATGAAGTAATATAGGGCCCTTGGCAATTAGAATTGGGTTTTGCAGTCCATGATACTATATGTCATTAGAACAAGGAACCCAGTACTGCTAATTATTTAGGCCCCAGCTGTATGGCACTCCAGAACACAGGTCGGCATGGCTACACGGATTGAAGACCCGGTAACTACTAAGGCAAGGAACCCTGCTTCAAGGATCGGCGGACTTTGTAAGCACGGTCGTAAGTAGGGTAACTAAAAATGTGTCTGCTTATATCCCTAATTACACAGTACTTATAAACCCGACTAATAAGTCAAGTCCTATGATCCTCTAGTATGCGTTCAACACTGATCCTTAGCTAATATAAGGGACCCTGAACCCAAAACCCCCCAACCTCAAAAAAACCAGCAGGCATCATTGCAACAATCATCGGTGGATATGGGAGCACCGGCGGGTAAGGGTGGAAGCTCGCAAAAGCTGGTCCCTCGGGCTGCACCGGAACACGAGGTGGAGGCGGTAGCTGCAAAGGCGCCGGTCTCGGAGGTGGCACTGGCAGCTCCTGTCGTGCACATGCTGTTGCTTTCGCCTTGGCCTTCAACGCTTCCTCCGTGAAGTTCGCCGCGGCACTGGCCGTCAGCAGCCCAAGACGTGCTCCTTCCAGAGCGCTGCACGGAAGATGCTTCGCCACAGGTGGCGGTGTCGTCGGTGTTGCCCTCCGTGGCGGCTGCCCGCCTCGGCGGCTGCCTGGACGTGTGCCACTCTCGGTGGCTCGCTCCACTGCTGTGTCACTCTCGCTGGCTGGATCCACTGCTGTGCCCCCGGCTGGCGGCACTGTCGTCTCTGGCGGTGGCTGGTATCATATTGACCGTTGTCTTCGGTGGTGCTTCTGTGGCCGACTGCTTCGGCGCTCAAACTTAAGACCAAGAAGCTTTAAACTCCAAAACCTCCAACCCTAAACCCCACACTCCTGAAACAAAAATTATGGAACCCCGTAGAACTCAACTAGAACCCTCACCGTAGCCCTGATAGTGCCCCTTATAGCAAGCCTAATCGAAGGTAACGGCGCCTGTAGTGCGCCTTGTGGTTTTGCACATTGATTGTTGTTGCTCATTGCCAAAACCTTGAGAAAACACAGTATTCCCAGCAGAACGCATGCAGTAGGAGGGTCCAAAACCTTGAAACAGACTGTATCTTTAGAGGTTTACAGTGCTAAAACCCAGGTCCGGTTGCGTTTTGCGCACAAACCCCAAAGGAAACTTGTCAGGCCTTATACACTCCTGGCAGAGGCCGGCCAAAGCAGCATACGGATCCTTCTGGACTCGTCGCCACTGGAACTGGTCAAGGTAAGACCACAAACCCTTCTGGTTGATGGGCTTTTGTGTTCCTTGCTTTTTTTTGTGAAGATTGTTTTGGGATGCTGCCATATCCTATCTATCTGTTGTGTCCCTGCAAGGGACGACCCATTGGGACGTGGTTTGCGTCCCAGTGGGCGGGTGAAGACAGAGTTCTTGTGCTGTGCATGTGAGAAGACCATCTTCCTCTTGGTGGCTTTTGCAGCTCGGTCCCATGCCATCGCGCCATCAGCATAACAAGCGGCCTAATGAGGGACGGGCTTTGCAGTAGCTGGTTAAGGGTTGAGCGTTCAGGATTATGTCTGAATCAGATACAGATAAGCAAAGTTTGAGGTTTGGGGTCTCTACGGAATTTAGGTATTATTTAGGAGGACTCATGTAGGTGGCCATGACATGTGCCAAGCAGCCTTGTCGCACACGTGCTTCAGCAGACCAGTGCAGAGCACATCGTCGGTGCTGTCTGGAGGAGGCACCGAGCCTGCAGGCACCAGTCGGAAAGGAGCTGGCAGAAACACGCATTTGCGTGATCCACGTTCCGTGGCTCCGAGACATCGCACATGCAAGAGAAAGTATGGGGGCATGGATGCGCCAGGATGACGTTGCTTCCATGCATCAACCAAGCTCTTGTAAGTGGTGGTGTTCTTGCTGATTCGTGCCGTCCGGAGTGAGGTCCCATCCACTTCGACTGCATTCTTCAAGACCAGTCGCTTGTGCTACCCAAGCCGATGCCATCCGAGGAGTCACGGGGCTGCTGCACTGCGCTGTAGTCCTGCACGGAGAGGGTGTCCTCGGTGGAGACCTCGCGCGCTCTGGGAACAGCACCGACTGCTGCAGAATCCGAAAATCTGCAAGGGGGTCTTCCACGGACGGACACGGCCCCCACGAAGAAAGGCTGCCAAAACTCGCATCGAGGCGACGCTGAGCACGAAAACAAAACTCCCAAGCCACCACACTCAGCAGCCCGGCACCCAAAGGGCGAGCCAGTTGAGCACCGATGTTCAAGGCGGCTCCAGTAGTCGCAGCCAAGGGAGTCCGCCGGCACGTGTGTCGCTCAAGATTGCATGCAGCGCTGCGTGCTCGGCAGACCCGACAGATGCAGTGCCGACACCTGGGATCGTCAAAACTTCGAAATGGCTTTCGATGTCGATCAGTGCGAATGTCCGGAAGCCGCCCAGATCATCGTAGAATAGTTGCCCGCTTTTCCGAGTCAGGAGCAAAGCCAAGAGAAGCAAACTAATCCAATGCAGATCCATGGCCTACCGAGGCAGGGCCTGTGCACTACGGAGCCAAGTGTCTCGCAGGCATGATGCCGCATTGTTACATGAACGTGATTACCCCCCCCATCCCTCCGAAACCTTGAAAACCTCCAAAGGTGCCCTGAACGCAGGGCGCGGTAGGGGCGCTGTCACCTATAATCGAAACCCTCGTAACCTCACTGCTACAAATGGGGGGTTTCCGAATAGTAGCGGTACCTTATTTTGGAGTCCTTGTAATAAGGATCCTATTTTTTGGAGTAAAATATTAAGGTCCCCTATTTTCGGAAACTCCCAGATCCTGACGAGTCTCCCTCCCCATGGGCCTCAAAGTAGTTCCTGTTTGGAATTATATACCTAATAGGATTCTGTATATGAGCCACAAAAAGGAACTACTCTGCGGCCTATGGGTAATGTAGACGCCCGAAATTCCCTAAAACTGTACCTCAAAAACCTACCCTTTTGATTATTCCCCGATAGTATGGAACCTTTATAAAACTCTTACCGGATCCCTTTAAAGGAACCTTTATTGAAGCTATCTATTTAACACTTCTAAGGTCCCTACGTTAGGCCTGCCCTAGACCCTAAACCCCTAAATCCCCAAACCCTAAGCCCTGAGCTCGAAACCCGAAACCCTAAACCCTGCCCTAAGCCCTAAGCCCTAAACCCTAAGCCCTAAGCCCTAAACCCAAAGCTCTGCCCTAAGCCCTAAACCCCTAACCCCTACGCCCCAAACCCTGAACCCCTAAGCCCTAAGCCCTGAACCCTAAGCACTAAGCCCTAAGCCCTGAACCCTAAGCCCCAAAACCCCTAGGCCCTAAGCCCTATAAACCCTGAACCCTAAACCCCCAAACCCTAAGCCCCAAAACCTGAACCCCTAAGCCCTAAACCCTATACCCGCCCACGTAGGCCGGGCCCCCCGCCGAACTAAGGACAACGAGAGGGAGATCGCCGCTTCGGTACCCGAACACCTGGTGGTAAGGCGTTGCGGTTTGGGGTTTAGGGTTCAAGCGTTTAGGGTTAAGGGTTAAGGGTTTAGGGTCTGGGGTTTGGGGTTAAGGGTTTGGGGTTTTGAGGTTTAAGGGTTTAGGGTTAAGGGGTTTAGGGTTTAAGGGTTTAGGGTAAGGGGTTTAGGGGTTTTAGGGTTTTGGGGTTTAGGGGTTTAGGAGTTTTGGGGTTTAGGGTTTAGGGTCAAGGATTTAGAGGTTTAGGGTTTAAGGGTTTAGGGGTTTAGGAGTTTTGGGGTTTAGGAGTTTGGGGGTTTGGGGTTCAGGGTCCTACTTGCAGGGTCATGGGGTGAAGTAAGTCATGTTGTCTACAAGCATCTGTAAGTCGGTTTACCTCATTGTTAGCTCTGGACCCTAAACCCTAAACCCTAAACCCTAATAACTCCTATCATCCTTTAGGTACTGACACGCTCAGGGTGTACTTGGGATCGCGACACTAACCGCTTTAGGGGGTTACCTTAACACCAAATACCCTACCTTTTTCAGGACTTATATAAAGAATCCATACTAGGGAACTCTAGAAAGGTAGGTTCTTCAGGGCCCAGGTATTCCCTGGAAGTAAGGGTTATAGCCGACCATGTTGTAGGGTTCTGTTTGCAGGTAGCATTGGGGGTTATTTGCTCCTAGTGCAACATCCAAATGCTGAGACTCGAATCTAAACGGCGCCGCAGACATCTCATCCTAAAGAAAGGCGCCTTCATGGTTAGAACAGGGTTTGGAGGTATACTACACTATACTTATAATCAGGGAGGCCCAAAATAGTTAAGGCACCTACAGTACATCACAATTGATGCTCACTAAACCCTAAGCCCTATGCTGGTCGCCACGACAACGACAAACACCAGACTGGCGTGCCGTGCTCGAAACGGAAGGAACCTAGTGATTCTGACGTTTGAACAAAGTATACCAAGTAGGATACGTGGTTTTGGGCGGTAGTCTCAGTGGTATACAACAATAGAGTAAGGAACCCAACGGAATAGTACTGGAAATATCAATCAAGGCACTGTAAGCATGCGCGCCCTTCAAGCCCCAACCCTACGAATACGCCCCCGAATCCTGGTTGATATGAAGGAGCCCTAAGGAATACTAATTTATGCTATTTCCCGAATTCTGGATGATATGAAGGAGCCCTAAACAAATACTAATTTATGCTATTTCCCCGAACTCTGGATGATATGAAGGAGCCCTAAGGAATAATAACTTATGCTATTAACCCGAGCCTGAAGAGGCTCTCTATGGCTTCCTGCTGCACGGAGAAGAAGAACTCTGCAAACTCCTCTGCGGTTGAGGGGAGGGGTTTAGGGTTGGGGGTTAAGGGTTGAGGGGTTGAGGGCTTTAGGGTTCAAGGCTTAGGGTTTTAGAGTTCAGGGTTCAGGGTTTAGGGTTTAGGGTTGGGGGTTAAGGGTTTGGGGGCTTTAGGGTTCAAGGCTTAGGGTTTTAGAGTTCAGGGTTTAGGGTTGGGGGTTAAGGGTTGAGGGCTTTAGAGTTCAAGGCTTAGGGGTTTCGAGTTCCGGGTTTAGGGTTGAGGGTTTAAGGTTTAGGGTTTAGGGTGACACCTAGAGGGTCATGCTCTTCCCATGCGTTTCAGGGGGTTACCTAGTAGAAATGATGTATAGAAAACCCGATACCCCAAGACAGAGGTACATAATTAGGGCATGACCCTGTAGATCGGGATCTACATGGGTTCTATAGGATTTGGGGCTAAGGCGTTTTGAGTTGGGGGCGCAGGGGCTTCATGGGTGCAGGGCTTAATTAAAGCTTCAGATGTGATTTTGCTTAGGGGTTCAGGGGTTTAGGGTTTACGGTTTTGGGGCTTTCGGGGTTCAGGGTTTAAGGGCTTTCGGGGCATTAGGGGTTCAGGTTGGCTTGCGGCGTTCTGCGTCGTAGGACTTGACTTAAAGAGTTGCGCACCCCAATCTGTAGCCACAGCTTTCAACGTTTGGGTCTCCACCGGGTTTGGAGTTAAGGTTCAGGGCTTTACCAGGACCCCCCAAGTGCACTTTGATAGAGCCCTTATGGCCCTTGAAAGTGGGTATTTAGGGAACATTAGAGGGTAGTTCGGGGTCTAGGTAGGGTGTGTCTCACATAACTATTGAACTGAGTAGGGTTATTTTACGAACTTAAGAAAACAGTTCTGAGGCCTAGTGTTTAGGATCTACAAGGGCGTTCCATGACTGCGATTGGGATACGCTGCGCTCTGTTGTAGCAGCTTCACACTTCTTGCCCGTTTTCCGATCCAATCATGGGATCCACCAGCAGACCCAACCCTACCTCAAACTACCAAACACCGAACCCTACTTGTTCGTAGGTTCCTATTATAAAGCCCTAATATGGAATTTATAGGGACCCTATAAAAAAAGTTGGTTTTGGTAGGTTAAGGTAATCCTTAAAAAGCACAGAAAGTCGTGCTTTTTGAGCCTCGGAAAGCTTCGCAGACTCTTTGTGCCGTCGGAGAAGGGCTGCTGCCGCCTGCACGATGAAAAGCCGGCTAAGGGTTGAGGGTCGAATTTGGGAGTTTCCTAAAATTAGGGGTACCTTATTGTAGGGTCCTTATAATAAGGATCCTACTATTTAGGATACCATATTAGGGTCCCCTATTTTCGGAAACTCCCAATTAGGGTTGAAAGTTTCGCACCCTCGAAAGCCGGTTGGGTTTAGGATGGTTTAGGGCTTCACAATGCTTCAGGTCTAGGGTCAAGTTCTGATGGTTCATAGCGCTTAAGGCCGTGACGGTTGGAAAACAACAAATGCGACGGTATCATGTGTGCTTCTGTGAGATTGCTCTAGGCTCAGGCTTGGGGAAAGTCTCTGCTCCGTCGTTTCTCCTTCTTTCTGACATCTAGTCAATTTAATTGATTTGCATGACCCCTGAATCATAACCTTAGACCCAAAGCCTCAAAACCCGAAACCCTTAAGCCGGATAAGGGTTCACATGGAGCCATCGGGACAATATCTCCGACGGCAGTTCAGTGAAGCCCTGCCTTCATGATTTGAAGTGGGTTTCGAAATCGGGGCATCACATAGTACGACCGAAAAAGGGACTCCAACGGCATGCTGCTACTGCTACTAGTTGTTCTTATTCCGACCTCCCATATCACGCCCTCCCGGTCTTGATGCTATCTGGATCTGCTTCTCGCCCGAAACTGCACATCGAACTTTGAGATCTTGAAAAGTACCGCTTGAAGGCAAAAGGGAGCAATGTCTCGAAACTGAGACGGAAAAATCTCCCCCCACTCGTCAACCCTATACTTAGCCCCAAGCTCCAAACCCTATTCGTCGTTTTGGGTTAATTAAGGAGTTAACGGAATTCAAAGACTTTTCATTACAGGAGATGTATGTAAGCTGATTGCACTATGGCTACTGAAAGTGAACTTGCCTCGAAGCGACCACCAGCATCCATGAAACATACACTCTCTAGGCCGCCACGACTTCCAGCTAAACCCTCTTCTACCCTATTTCCTCTTTGGCCCGCCGGAACTTTACGAGGACCGCATCGAATTTTTTGCGACACGTCTGCCTTTTGGCTCGCATTCGTTGCTAGCCTACTGGGACGCAGCCTGTCGCTTGACGATGGCATGCTGATGCAACGCACGAAGGAGCCACTTGCACCCGTATTCTATCGTCCGAGGTTGTCTAAATCGTAGTTCTCTAAACTGGATCTCCTTTCACCCTGAACCCTAAACCCCTAAACCCTAAACTTGATAAGTGTGCCGCCTTGCTTTGGGGTCTGACGAAGGGACCCCAAGTTAGAACTGCCCACACGTGGAGGTCCCTCCAACACTTCCGAAAACCCTGGCATTTTTTGGACGATCCTGCTTGGAGGGGCAGGGGGGTAACTCCATTTAAGGTACTTATAACTCTACTTATGACCTACTTACTCAGTCCCCTGCCCCTCCAAGTGAAGAATACAGAAGCCCGGACAGTTGCTATAGTATTCCTTTGGATTCCTTACATACCCGATACCCCATTCTCATTTTCACGGCCACCGTTTTA